GAATGCCAAACAACTCTGCGGGGGGATGGGGAATCACCCCAGTTGTGACCCACTTTTCTACACACACACACACACACACACACACACTTCACTTGACAGGGAGGACCTGATTGGAGAAGAGATGGTTAAATAAAACCAGATGTTAACCTAGAAAGTATGCAGTTAGGCCCCACCCTCCTTCCAAAGCTGTCAGTGCTGGGCCCTGGGGGAGGGGCAGGGAAGGCTGGGGCTGCCAGGCTTCCCCCTCCGTTTCCTCTTCCTCCTCTTTCTTGCCCAGTGTCTTCTCTTCATTCTTTATCTCTCCCTCCTCTCTCTCTTTTTCTTCCTCCTCTCTCTCTTTTTCTTCCTCTTTCTGGAGACTGTCCAAATTTCTATGAGGGCCTCATTCCTGGAAGTGCTTAAAGCCCTGCCCGCCCCCGCTCTCCTCCCGCCCACCAGGGTCCTGAGTGTTGCAGAAGCAGCATCTGGGACAGAGCTGACTGGTAGACCCAGGGCAGGTAGGCCTGAGCCAGGGCCTGGGCCGGAGCAGAGAGGGAGGGGAGTATCCAAATTTTGGTTCCTGCACTAACTAGTCAGTAGTAGTGAGACTTCTGCAAGGTCTTCACACACAACCTCACGAACTGTGCGAACTAAGACAAATGATTAGATGCCTCTGAGCCTCAGTTTCCGCATTCAAAAAATGGAAGTGACATCTGAAATGGCTCTTAGGAGCTTTTGCGGGACTGAGTGGTTAGTGCCTGGCACTTGATAGATGCTCAATTCTGTTATCAAAAACGGTCACTCTTCCCTCTGTGGAGTCTCTGTTAAGACCCTCTAACCATTCTGAAAGCACCTTCCTTTGTTACCCCTGACACCAGCCTCCTGAGCCCAAGGTGCACTGTCCCAGTGGCCAAAGGTAGGCTGAAGAGCAAGTAGGGGTGGGAGTTGGAGCCTCTGCAGTTTCCTCATCTCCATGGCCACAGGCTGAGCCCTTCTGCGGTGTCAAGAGGACCAGAACGCCACATCCTCAGGATCACGCTTGACAAGAAGAAACCTAAGCCACTTCTGTGGCCCAGGAAATGGAAGATTCTACAGGGCTAGAATATTAACCTCAACACCAAGCATAAAGAGATTGTTGTGGACTCTATAGCAGTGATTCTCACTGCCCTCAGGTGGCATTGGCAATATTGAGGGACATTTTTGTCTGTCACAACTGGGAGGGGGGTTGAATAAATAGAGGCCAGGGATGCTGCTAACCAGCCTGCAATGCACAGGACAGCTTCCAGCAAAAAAAATCATCCAGCCCAAAATGTCATTGTGGCCGAGGATGAGAGGCCCTGCTCTACAGGACTTCATATTTGTGTTCATATTTGTGATGTCTTTGTTATTTGCGCACTCAGAGCCTGGCATTCAAGAGGAATAGTTTTGAATGAATGAATCAATGAAGCAACCAACATCGTATCCTCAGCTCTAAGAGATGGTAATTCATACAATAAGCTTCACATTTCTGTGTGCCATCCTGTTCATACCAGGTTCCAGAATTCAGAACCAAAATCCAGCATTCAAAACCCCAGTGTTTTGGCCAAACCGGGCAATCTGGCTGCCTGACTCTCCAGCAAGCGTGCGGGCTGTGTAGGGTGGACTTGGCTACTCGCCTGCTGCCCAGCAACCTGGTAGGAGCTCAGCGAGTTGACTAAATTAGGGCAGAAATGACTTGGCAGGCCCTGTCCTCACAGTGCAGTGGACACAGGATCCATCAAAGTATAGGATGTGGAACTTGGAGTCAGTCAAGCCTGGGTTCAAATCCCCAAACATGACCCTAAACTTATGACTAACCTCCATACTTTAGTTTCCTTAACTCTATATATTGGGTTAATAATAATAATACCTTCTTTAAAGGGTTAATGTCAGGATTAGAAGAGATAATCCATTTTAAAGAATTTGGTGCTGTGCTCGTAACTGGTGGTAAAAAATGATCATCGATGAACGCTATCATAGCTCATTTCCAGTGCTTGCCCCTCTGCTCGTAATCCCGTGTCCCATGGCTGAGCCTGGAAGAGTCTGGAAGGCTGCCAAACACTCGCTCATGCCTCTCTCTAGCTCGGCTGTGCACCAGCACTGGGTTAAGTCCCAGGGACACAGAGGGGCATAGAATGTGGTCCTGAGCGGTTTACGGGCTGTTGGAACATTAGCAGGAGCACTGAAAGGACAACAATTGGAGATGAGGCAAACATGGCACCCAGGATGCCAAGTGCAAGGAAGTACTGTGCCCTTGCATGTCCCAGCCCAGCGAAGGGCCACATTGCAAGAGGAATGCCTAAAGGCACAGAGGAGGGTGAGAGGGAGCAGGGGCTGTAGCATCAGGGGCTTCCTGGAGGAGGTGGCAAGAAAGCTGCTGGCTTGGAAGGATAGGAAGAATTTTGAAATGCAAAGCTAAGGCACATATGCTCAGGAGTAGGAACCCATAGGAGCAAAGACTGCTTTGAGGAAAACCCCGGGCGAGTTTGAATTGTGCAAATGGTTTGTAAATTAAAAGCAAAGGAGTGTACTCTATGACTTGAGTACCGTGGATTTTTTTGTAAGATGGTGGGGGCTCAACTTCCGGTATCTCTGCAGCTAAGGGTTCCTTTCCAGTTCCCCAGGCCCTGCAAGGCTCAGCAGAGAGGAAATAAATGGGTCTCCCTGGCAGTTGTAGCCTAGGGGAGCAGGACAAAGCCAGCCCGACACACAGGCATCTCATCCTTTGGGTTGTGCTGTCATTGGCTTTGAAGATGCCTAGTGAAATGGGCATCCAGTAGCTGGGAGATAGTGTGGGGGTTCAAAGGTCATAGGACAGTCAAGGAGGGTGGCGACAGAGAAGCAAATAAATGTCAGTGTGATGTGATACATGTGGCAATGGGGACCTCCTAGAGGAGTAGACCTCCTTACCTGATCACCCAACCGTGGTGGTTCTGGAGAGCAGGCATTGTTGGGTAGGAGACACACTTAACAATGAGAGACGTTCTGAAATAGAATGGACTGGATGGTTCCCTTGATTAGAATCCGGTTCATTTGAACCAATATTTATTGTGCGCTCATTAAATGCCTTGGTCTGGAGTAAAAGAAGGAATAGGATTTTGGAGGCTGTTATGTCAAGGGTAAGGGTGAAAGGGCACTGCTCTTAAGGAGCTGACAGCTGAAAGGAAAAGACAGAACTCCCTGGTGAATGGAAGGGAGAGTGTGGTAGGCTGGGGAGACAGCCTGAGCAAAGGCCTGGAGGCCTGGTAAAATGAAGTGTGACCAGGGAATAGTAAGCAGATGGTAAGGCTAGAATATAGGCTAGGGGAAGCCCCATCCTTAAAGGTTTTGCCTTCCAGGCTGGGGGCCTTGGGCTTTCTTTCTTAGGCAGTAGAAAGTAAAAGATGCTTTGAGGAGGAGGAGAGTCACATGACCTGTTTGTTAATACAGAAGATTAATTTGGTGTGAGTATGAAGCACAGGTTGAAAAGGCAAGTGATCAGGAGGCAGGAAGACTTGGTAGAAAGCTGGAGTAACCCTGCAGGAGAGAGAGGATGGCTGGCTGGAGCAGTGACAGAGGGCAAGGAGGGGTGGGCCAGAAGACAGTGACGTGGAAGACTAATGGGCAGTTTGGATGCAGGAGGAAGAGGTAGGGGTGTTTGAGGATGACCCCAGGTTCCCAGGCTCTGATCTGGCAGAGGGCTCTGAGAAGCAGGTCATGGTCTGCGTTAGCAGGGGGCCGGTCAGTGACCTTGAAGGTCCTCCTCTGCCTGGAGGTGTCTGGCTCCACAGCCAACACAGCTGTGCTCCGGGGGGGCTCTGTGGGCTTCTGACCAGTGGCCCTTACTCCCGCTCCTTCCCTTGCCCCAGCATGTGAAGTCCCAGTGTCCGATGCCCAGCTTTTCCCTTCTTTTCTTCTTTCCTTCCTCCCAGGATTCACGGAAACCTTCAGTACCCAGCCACCGGCCAAAGACACCATCAGGCAAAAAAGCGGAGCCTCCATGTTCTCTCCTGTCTCAGTCGTGGAAGGAGGACCGCAAGCAGACTCTGGCAGCAGCCTATGTGCCTGTGGTGGTGAACTCTAGGGGTCAGAACTCAGACAAGCTAAGGTTCAATTTCTACACCTCCCAATACTCCAACTCCCTGAACCCCTTCTACACCTTGCAGAAGCCTACTTGTGGCTACCTGTACCGCCGGGACACTGACCACACCCGTAAGCGCTTTGACGTGCCTCCTGCCAACATGGTTTTGTGGCGCTCCTAGGCAGTCAGAAGCCTGTCCACCTCCACCTTCACCCCCTAACCACCAGTCTTGGAGGGGAAGGGCTGCTCACTCCAGGAGGAATAGACCGTGCCTGGGCTAGGACAGCTGTGCCATGCCCACTGTCAATGATGGTAAAGGGACTCTCTTGTAGGCATCAATTAAAGTTTGTCCTTCCTTTCCCTGGCATCTGAATGGGTGGCTGTGAGTAGGTAAACTGAGGCCACTGGGGTGTTTTACAGCAAAGTTAGGTCCACAGGTGCCTGAAGACTTGGAAGGACTTGATTCTTAGTGCCCTCACCCGGAGAATAACCTCCACCCCCTCCATAGCCTAAGTCCCAAGCAAAGCCTGTGCTGGCCATACTCTCCCCAGGGTCCAGGCTGGGCAACCCCTCCAAAGACAAGAAAGACATGCATCAGCTGACCATGACTCCAGCTCTCTTATGAAGCCTCTCATCCCAGATTGGAGTAGCCACTGGAGAATGAGTAGTAATGCAGGGAGTGAACCCAGACTCAAGGAGCATCTCCTCTCCAGCCCTAGTTTTATATAAAACCACCACTTTTGACTTCTAATTTGTTGGTGGGGATGGGTTTTCCACCTCAAGTATCTCATCTGATCCCGATGAGCTGCCTCTGAGGTTGGTTAGGCTCATGTACTATGGTTCATGGAGAAGGGAGGTGAGGGCAGAGGGTGCCTCATCCATAGCAGTGGCCTGGGTGAGTCCCTGGTCACTGTCACCCAAGGAAAATCGTGATGTGCTGGAGCCAGCTCCAATCGGCCTGTGGGCCTCTCCTCCCAACTCTACAATCAGCAACTTGATGTAGCCTGAAATTGGCCAAGATAAGAATATTTACATTACTGAAATTAGCAAATGCCTACAACTCCCCC